CCCACAGATTGCTAAACTCAACTTATCTAATTTCCTCTCCCATTGAGTTTCGGCAATTGAGGCGCCCAAGAAAAGCTCCGATTGAGCGGAGAGCGGAAAAAACGGATTGGWTTTGAGTATTTGCATTTTGCGACTGTTATGAGGTGTCTCTCTTTCTTTTTTTTTTTTTTAGCTTTTTTTTTGTGAGTCTTTGATTTAGCATATTCAATGGGCATTTAACATATGTGCCTGTCATTACGAGCGACTGGCTCAGGTAGGTGCTGGGCCCAAGTATTGGGAAATCAAGGAAAAGTACGATCGCTTAGCAGACGCAACGCGCTCACGTTTTCAATGCGACTTGATTCTTGACGGCTGTCAAAACTGGAGTAAAAGTTCAGTGGATAATTTATGGGCAAATTAACAGAGCACGTGGATCACCCACGAAAATTAGCCAAGCACCCAGCCGCGTGGCTGGTGGTTAACCGGCATTGTCCGGCATTGTCGTTTCACGCTGTGCAATGGTGCTTGGTTTTTTTTTTGTTTGTTTTTTTTTTTTTTTTGTTTTTTTTTATTTCCTTTAGAGCTTCCAGTATCGAGTTTCGAATTCAAACTTTCGAAATACGCAGAATAGTCGAGAAGACTTTCAATTTCCAGCCAAGTAGGGCCGATCACTGAATGAATAATCAAATCGAGCGGCGCACTGCAGCTGCCCCGATAAGCGTGAAATCAACTCAGAAGTGAAACGAAAACAAAGCCCAGAGAGTCATTAATTTGATTAGCTACTCAGAATTCTACGAGTCAAGTTAATAGTTCAAGTTTTTATTGTGAACTGTGACGTTGTTGGAGAAAGCGTGCTTCTTGCATCGAGAAGCATTCGCTGAGATTCAAGCTTTCGTTTTGCCGAACAGAAGATGATCTTGCTAGAAAAATTATAGCAGGAAGAGAATATCAAGAGATTTGATTTTCGTCGAAGAAACTTAATCATCTACATAATAAGATCTTCACATAACTAAATAGGTTTAGAAATTTAGAAGATTAATGTTTTCTAATTATCCATCTATATTCTATTGTACCTCGATACATGCAGTACATATGACTTTTAAAAACTCTCAGGTATACAATACTTCAAAACTTATTCAAAAGAGGGCATACCAAAGTCTACACATACATAATCAAAATTTCAAATCTTCAGCTCTCGGGTTGACAATCAGAAAGGCAAATGTCATTGCACGAGACCAATACACCCTCTTCAGTTCATGAGCGGGAATGAAACGAGTCGTATTTGATTTCTATTGACTCGCAATGCTGTACCTGAGATTTCTTTAAGGTCTTCACAGCTTACATTTGAAATGAAATTTCAATATATTTTTATTGACTATCAGAAAATACAGACGGCAAACATATTCAAACTTTTACTACTCTATTCTTCAATCACATGTCATTCAATAAGAACTTAATCCATTGGAATCTATGACAGCTTTAGATTAAAAGTTAGTTATATACTTTGATTACCTGCTAGTTAGTCTGTATATCGTATCGTGACTCTTGATAATTATCTATATAGGTCTATAGTTTTCTATTATAAAGTTTGCTCAAGCTTGTTCGCAGCGAATGTCTTGCGATATATATATATATACAAATATCTATATATATATACGATTTATATATCATACGAGTATGTATGCTATAACTATTATATTTACTACTCCTATATTAATATATAAAGATATAATCTATAAATATGTATACATACCCTCTATACCACAT